CCTGTTAATTAAAAAAAAAAAAAAAAAAAAAGTAATGCAATTAAATTAAAAAAAAAACAGAGATTTATACATTAAACACTAATTAATATACATGCAGTTGACTTTTAGAAGAATTTGTTTAAGGGTAAAGATGTATATATTTTGTCATGCTCTGACTTGGCTTTGTCCACATGACCATTTCTTTCTCCTTGTTTTTCTAACTGCTGTTAATAATATTCATCATAGTAATAATCAAAATTAAACCCCATTTTTTTTCTCATTTCTTTTGTCTTTTTTTTTTTAATTTATTACTATTTCTTGTCTTGATTATTCTCATGCATGGAGGTTTTGAGGTTGAAACCACAGGTATTTTTGCCTTCTTGAAATTCAATTCCCAGAAAAATTCAAATGTTGAGCAAAGAAAGATTAAAATAATTAATCTCTTACCAAAAAAAAAATTTAAATTAATAAAAGAATATATTTGTGTGCAGGAATTGGTGACAAAATCATCAAGAAGGTCACCATTGATACTAAGAATGGTGATCTTGCTTTTCTCCATGATCTGTGGACTCTACATTTTTTCCTTCTGTATAGATCAAACAAATTTATTCACACAAATTAATATTAATCCTCTTCGAATCCAAACTATTGATCGACGAAATCGCCCTTGTAGAAACATTTCGATACAAGAACATGACATCCCTTTTGTACATTTTCCTAATCCTCATACTTTTAGCAGGTTCAATCTCTCTCTCTCTCTCTCTCTCTCTCTCTCTCTCTCTCTCTCTCTCTCTCTCTCTCTCTCTCTCTCTCTCTCTCTCTCTCTCATGATTTGAGGAAATTATATATATATTTTTTTATTAATTTTTTTTATATAGGCAGGAATGCGCATGCAATCCGGTTAGATATTTTGCGATAATATCGATGCAGAGATCAGGCAGTGGATGGTTCGAGACATTGCTTAATAGTCATATGAATCTGAGCTCAAACGGAGAAATTTTCGGGCCAAGAAATAGAAGAAATAACGTGTCGGTAATTTTCGATACGTTGGATAGAGTATACAATCTTGATTGGTTAAGTAGTTCGGCCAAGAACGAATGCTCGGCTGCTGTTGGCTTTAAATGGATGCTCAATCAGGTGAAATATATTCGTTCATATTCAAATAATATTTAATTAGTACTATGCGCTCGCGAAATTAATTTTTATTTATATTTTTTTCGTGAAGGGGTTGATGGAATTTCATGAAGATATAGTGGATTACTTCAATAAAAGAGGAGTTAATGTGATATTTTTGTTCAGAAGAAATATACTAAGGAGAATGGTTTCTTTGATTGCTAATGCATATGATAAAGATGCCAAATTGCTCAATGGGACACATAAATCACATGTTCATTCACCACATGAGGTAACCCCCTTCCACATTTGTTATTGTAGTGTTTGGAATTAATAGTATCGCACCCCTCGAGAAAATGCGTTTACTTTAATCACGAACAATTCAAGAGACGATCTTTATGTCTTGGCCGATGAAATTCGAGCATGAGAGTCGATGGGGGGTCATGCCCCCCCCCCCCCCCCCAACAATTTTCGAAATTTGGTATGTTTTACGTAGTATAAAATTTAAAACCTCCCCCCCCAAAAAAATTTTTAGGAAAAATTTTGGGTCCTATTGGAAATAAAAATTCCCAATTCTTCTAGGGGGGGGATTAATTTAACCTTTGGTGAATTTAGACTGGGTCTTCCCCCATAGTGGAAATATTTTTTGTGAAATTTTGTAATAAAAATT